AGGGAAACCCTCCGGCCAGTTACCACCAGGGCCCAGGAGATGGTCTGCACCCTGCAAAGCACCCCGAGACTCAGGGGAGAACCTCCCTGGCGAGACGTGCCCACGCTCTGTACGTACCTAAGGCATCTTGCAAGTATTTCTGCCCCACCAGCTTCAGGTATTCTTCGATTGCTTTGGTGGCCAGCGTGTTCTCCCTGAAAATGAGATGCTCATTCTCACCACAGCGATCAACTTCAGACATCATCAGGTCAGTCAAGAAATCCTGGAAAGCAAAGCCCATGGTGGGTCAGCACACAGTGCCACACGCCTCGCTCCCAGCTGCAGCCTCCCCTCCACAGAGAGGTCTCGCCTCCGCGCGACACACCAGGGAGCGGAGGTGCCGCGGGCGATCCTGCGTGCACGCTGCCGGACTCCCAGCCCCACTCTCCTCCTGCTTCTCCAACCTCAGAGACAAGAGGAGAAATAAACCTCTGGAGAGCCACAACTTTTGCACCCCAAACAATGATTCGTTCCAGACCCGCACGACGTTTGCCCGCCCGTCAGGGCTGGTTTTCAGCTGGGTCTCGTATCAGCCTCACGCTTTGCGGGTGAAATGCTTTCTCCCCCGTTAAATGGGGCTGCGTTTGGTGCCTAACGGCAGCGGTCACAAATCAGGGGCGCGCTCAGCTGTCCTGAGCTGTGCCCCACAGCTAATGGCTGAGGATCAACCCTGTCACACGCATCGAGATACTCCCGTGCCCTATTTCCTTAGTGTGCAAGGAAATAAACAGCGCTGCTGCAGCGCACATTCGGGGCACATTTTTGGTCTGACGCACACGCAACCAACCACCAGGCGATTGCACAACGTTCTGTGCTGCAGAGCCGCGGTGGGGGTGAGCAGGAGCAGCCCGCGCGCTGACAGCTGCCCCGTGCATCAGGCCAGGCTGCTGACTGCAAATCCCAGAAGCAAAGCAGCCCCTCAGAGCAAGCCCGTGTCTCCTTCAGCAGCAGCGGTAACTGATCAGCGAGGGTCACGTAGCTCCCCGTGCATTCTGCAGAACATCCGCTACGTGGTGTAACGCTGAGCGGGCTGCAGCTCCAGGTAATGCAGGCGGAACGCCGTGCAGGTTTTAATGTCGATACATCAGCTTCTCTTCTCTGCACCGCTCACGGGAAAACAGCTCTGGGCCCCTGCCCAGCTCCTCGCCGCGCTGGGGGCTGAAGGGTCGACCTCCTCCCCCCCAGCACCGCTCACCTGCATGGCACAGGGGACAGGCTGGTGGCACCACGTAAATCCCGTGCATTCGACCTCCTGCTGCTTCCCCGTGCAGGCGACAGAGCGATGCTGACGTACACATACCACAGCCAAGGGCACCTTTTCAAACTGCCTTCCTCTCAAACAACATCATCTGCTCAGTAATAACCTTCCACTAAGAACTTCTCCTCCATTTGTCACGACCGTACCAGAGGTAACCAGCTGCTGGCAGGGGCGGCAGGAGCACCCAGAGCTGCCGTGCCCCTTGCTGTCCCCAAGCAGCGTGCACCCCCCAGAGCCCCCCCAGCACTGTGGCCATGACCCAGCACTGCTCCGACCCCCGCTCGGCGGGGGGGACGCTCCCGGCTGGCCAGGAGGTTAGCGACAGAGGCACCTTGCCCCATTTCATTTTTCACATGGATCCTGTGCATTGGCAGTTTAATCAAGGTTCAACAGATCGCTCCACCTGAACCCAACGGACCCAAATCACTTAATCCACAGACCCTTCATCCCTGTGCTTCTGTCCCAGACGGGGGAAGATCCAGGCGCCGGGCAGGCACCTGAGAGCGGAGAGGTCTCCCATCCCTGCCACCTTCCCACAAGATCATAACTGGGACGGACACGCTGCCGTGACCTTCCCAGAAGAGCCTCCAAAAAAGCCAGAGGAGGAGCTTTGGAAAAAAAAGTCACTTCCATTATTTCTTTAGCCAGAGAAGCCCCTGCTGCCCTTCCTCGGAGCTGGCGACGCCTGCAAGGCTCCAGCAGCTGCAGAGGCAAGAGTCCCTCCGGGAAGCAAAGCAGGTGCCTCCCCCCACTTTTTTCTCTCATTTTTTTATCAGCGAAGCTGGGATGAAACTTTAAACCCCTGCTCGAATCCCGTCAGCTGCTATCTGGGTAACTCCATCACCTTTATCTTCCCGGGTCCCTCCCGGGGTACGTTTCAATTCCGAGCCACAGCTCAGGCCGACACAAGGTGCTGATTCTTAATTAGCAGCCGCTGACCTTGCCTTTGCTCCATTCTCTTTCCTGTCACTTTCCCAACATACTAATTATCTCAGGAACACCGAGTTTTACAGCTTCTCTTAGCCAAGGGTTTACTCTTCCCCCTCTAGCCAGCCGAGGACTGGCTGGGGCCGAGCGGTGATGCACAACCCAACCGCGAGCTGGTGCCGCCGAGCGGCGGAGACCAGGGGCCAAGTTCTAGCCAGCGATAATGGGAATTTTGATGATTTCAGCTGATCCACAGAATTCACTAGAATTTAAAATAAGGCAAAATTCCAGCATGTGACTCAACACAAAGCCCGAGCAGATCCCCCTGAAACCTCTCCTGCGGCCGTTATCCCCTGCGGAGCACCTGCAGCTCAACAGCTGTGAAAACGAGCCCTTGGCTCCAAAGCGGGAAGGAAAGCTGCCAGAATCCCAAAGAGCTCCGTTAGGGTGCAGCACCCAAAGGTGGGGCGTAACGTGGCAGAATCCAGCCTCGTCACCGCCCAGGGGATGGAGGTGAGAGTCGGGATAGCCAACAGCATCCCCCGGCCAGGGCTCCTTGCCATCTCCGGCAGGTCCAGCCTCCCTGGGCTGCAGGAGGCATCGCGCCAGGCTGCACGAACCGAGCCCAAGATACAGCAGGGATCGAAACACCCACGGCCAGTGTCCTCGAGCGAGTTCCTCTGCAGAGACGGCTCCCAGCAGCCCAGCAGGACTTTGCTAGCCGCCGGAAAGGAGCCTCGTCCATGGGTCAGTTCCCATGACATCCCGCCATTCCTGTCCCAGGGCCATCGTCCAGCTCTTGCCTTCCCTCCGCACAAAAACCCCATCAGCTCTGGATCACACAGGGTCTGGTATCTCTGCCTTAAGTACGCCAGCAGCCAGCACTGGGAAGACACAAATGGAATGCAAATCCTCGCCGGATCCCTCCCGGGGCCTCACTCACCCACATACAAGGCTCCGAATAAAACGCAATAACTAAAGCCAATAAAACGCCCTGTTTCTGAGCAGCAGAGATCAGCAGGGGGTTGTTTTCAGTTAGGGCCCCTGGCAATGGAAGAAAACAAGATGCTTTATTTCATTAAATTGGAGTCTAGAAGGGAAGGAAAAGGTCTATGGTAAAAACGAAGGGCTGCGGCAGCGCTCTTCGGGCTCGCTCCCGTGTTTATTTTCAGGATATTTGCTTCAGACTGGACACAGCTGAACCTGTGCAACTCCAGTCCCTGCACATACGCTGATAAAGAGCAATTCATAAATAAATAAATTCAGAGCATGACAGCACGAGGCAGCACTGGTTTCCAGCACTTTTCCAACAAACCAAGCGTGAGCCCACAGCACCACGTGCTGTTCTAAGGCAGCTCCTCCAGAAACCCCCGCAGGAGCACCGCTGCCGGAGCGGCTGCCCGGTCCCCGCGGCAGGCAGAGTCCTCGGCACAACCTCAGGGTTACCACCAGGTACCCCCAGTGCCGCAGCCTCCCCTCCGCCTGGGCAATGCCACCTTCCTCCAGCTCCCGACGGTTCCCAACATCGTAACTGAATGATGGGCAGAGTGACTTTGAAATAATAATAACGTTCTCCACATCACAAGCCTGATTAATAGGATTGACTTAACCTTAAGAGGATTGAATTGATAAAGGTAATAAGATTACTGCTGATTTCAAAGACTAGCCCAGGGTCCAGCTGGGCTTTGGTGTAAAGGTGAAGAACACCCGGGGCTGGCAGGGCTGTGGGTGGAGGAGTGCCAGGGCACACCTACGGGGCAGGGAAACGCGGCACTCGACGGTGCTGAGCTGGGCGAGGAGAGAGGCAGCGACTGCATCCTGGACACAGTGCAAAACCAAGGACCCAGCCACCAGTCCTCAGCTTTCCACCAGCACACAGTTCCTCTGAGGATCTGCGCTGGACACTTCTCTGCTGGGAAACGCAGCGATGTTCCCTCCTCTGAGCACCAGAGCCCACCCTTGGTGCTTTTGGCATTTTCTAGTCCTCCTTGGGAAAAGGAGGTGCAGCAGCAAGGCAAGGGTTAACGCCCAGGCAGCCGCAGCCATCACCCTGCTCAGGGCAATAAGAAAACCCGATGGAGGATATCACACCGACACACTGAGCGACCGCTACCTCCCCAGGAGGGCAGAAGGGGCCGGATCCCACATGCGAGGCTTAGAACCCGCCCGTCGCCCCCAACACTGCCCCTCGCCGCCTTCCTCCATCCTTTCAACCAACCCGGCTGCCGTGGTCAGGGAGAGGGGGAAAAATGGTGGGGGTGCTCATAAAGCTGATTAAAAGCCTTATTAGCTCAACTATGGCTGCTATAAAATATTATCAGAGAGATAAACTCTTTGTGGGGCAATGATACAGCTGCTGCCAGCCTGTTTATGGCTGAACGTGCGCAGCATCCCGGGTTCCCCATGTCCCAGCCCTCCCAGTGCTGATAAAGGAGCGGTGCTCCCTGAAGGGACCGGCCAAGCCCTGGCGCCACCAGCCTCCGAGCCGAGCAGCTCCTGGTCCCCGAGCCGAGCCGGCACTTTCAGGCAGCTCTGCGCCATACGTGCAGGTCCTGCCCTTCCAAGGGCATCGCCAGCAGAGCTCCGACCAACACCCCGCACCGCTGAGGATGGGAACGCTGGGAGATTCTGGCAGCTCGCTCGGGGGGAGTACATACATCTGCTCAGCTGAAGCAAATCCTTGCAGCATGAACAAACAGGGACACATGTTTATTCTTCACTCCATTCACAACATGATAAATATTTATTTCAAGTGAGCAGCTGGTTAGTTACAGCTTTGTCTAATGCGGGGTTTGATCTACCACCCATTTGGATAAGAGAGGGTTTTTTATATATTTATGGTCATGAACTGAGCTCCAAACGCTGTAAGACAGCCCTGAAATAAATCCAAGCCTGGGAAATATTCTGCAAGCATCACCAGTCAGAGAGGGTCTGGCTCTGGAAGGACCAGCCCCACCAAGCCGTGCTAATGGCAGGGGCGAGCGCTCCCAGCGACACCAGGCATGCCAGCAGAAACACCTTTAATTACAACCTTGTGCCTTTTGCCTGTGAATTGCAAAACACATGAAAATAGTTCAGCATCCCTCCACGCCCTGACAGGCACCGTCTCATCAGCGCTGTCCCTGGGAGGATGGAAGCACGCAGCAACTCAAGGATGGACGCTGAGCGCCCGCGTCCCTGTGTTTAGCCACAAAGCCACGTCCCTCCCCCGGCACAGCGATGCTGCCGCCTGTCCATAAATAGACAGCGAACATCCGCTTCCGCCCGGACCCGTTAGGCGCTGGGTGTTGTCAGACTTTCCAGTGGGCCAGGCTGTTTGCGCTCTTATCAGAACGCCTTTCCCCTCCTCTCCACCTATTTGCCTTGGCGGCTGCTCCGGGATCTCCAGGCGTGCCCGGATGCACACCGAACCCTCGCGCAGCGCTGCAGCGACGAAGCTGTTCCCGTTCCGAAATACAGAGAAAAGGAAGCACGGACTTTGCCTCCAGAGAGGACTCTCTGCTTCTATTCTCCACCTTTTAATCTATTGCAATCCAGTTAGGGAGCCCAGGACAAGCAGATATTTAGGGAGGAAATTCAGCTCCAGCCCGTGCCCCCGTTCTGCCTGCAGATTCCTACGCTGTGCGGCTGGGTTTCAGAAGGTCCAGGTACCCGGCTGGTGGGGCTCATGATGGCAAAGGAGCGAAGCGGGGTGTCTGCAGGTCAGGATCGCTCTCCCGCCGTCTGCAGGGATGCACGGGGCTGCTGGTGGCTGGTCCCTGGCACGTGTCCCCATCCGCACAGCCCCGCGTCACCTCTCCCGCACCGGAGCTCCTGCGGCGCGGCTCTGGGTGGACGCACGGCCCCCGTCGCCCTGCCTCGTTACGGGGTTACACCACATTCACAGCAAACAGCGACAGGAAAGCAAGGGCTGAAACAGCACAAGAGCAATGAGCTCCTAACGAGTCTGCACAGATAATCTCCCAGACACTTGTTTCTCACTCCAGCTGTAATTGCTGCTTTAGCGTAGCCAAGAGCCACAAAACCCCTTTATCAGCAAAATAAATTAGTGGCCAGGGAGAGCTCTGGCGAGGGCACAAGGAGGGGAACCCCCCTCCAGCCCGGGCAGGCTTTGGGGGGTCACCGGAGGACAGGGGGCTGCAGGGGGGGGCACAGCCCGGAGCAGGGTGCACCCACGGCACACAGGCTGGGGTGAGGACGTGTTTTCCATCCCCATCCTTGGTTTTTATTTTTTACCTTACTGCTGCTTCCCCCTTCCTCTGCTCGCCCAGCTCCTCTCCAAAGGATGCGCCGCCCGGTTCCCATGCTCCAATAACTCCTGTTGCTCTCGCAGCTCCCTGAAGCCTGCGCTAATGCTGATGGCAGATGACAGGCAGCGAAAGCAGAAGCTCCGTTTTCAGGGGAAATTCATCGAGCCTGTTTACTGTTTGCTGCGTCCCCTGTGTAGAGCCTCTGGGATCTCGAGCGCTGATGCAGACGCGTCTGGAAACACACTTGCCCTCTTCAGAGCCTCTCCAGGACCGAGGAGGAGAGGGAAGCAGCAGGAGCGGTGACCACAGCTCTCGGCCATGATCCGTGGTGACTGAGCTCAGGGTGACACCAGAACCGTGAAAGCCACGGACAGGGTCTTTCATGGCAACGTCACCCCAACAAGAGCCCCAGCGCTAGTGCGCCCAGA